ATGGAAAGAGGCAATCAATGAGGAAATGAAAACCTTAATGAAGGCCAAGACTTGGAATTAGTAGATCTACCAGAAGGGAAGAATACTAGTGACAAAAGGATTTACTCAAAAGGAAGGGATGGACTACAAGAAGGCTTTTTCTCCAGTTACAAAACTTAATACAATTCGGGTTCTACTGTCATTATCTACAATTTTGTTGTGGGAGCTACATCAGTTGGACGTGAAAAACGCTTTTTTGAATGGTGATCTACATGAAGAGGTATTCATGAATCCTCCACCTGGTTATGATTTTCATGAAAATGTATATAAGCTAAGGAAAGCATTATATGGACTTAAGCAATCTCTTCGAATTTGATTTGAAATGCTCTATGGGGCCATAAAGAAAGTGGGATACACTCAGAGTGGTGTAGATCATACTTTGTTTATAAGAAAACAGGATAGCAAGCTTACAGCACTCATAGTCTATGTGGATGATATGGTGATTACAGGGAATGATCTAAAAGAAATAAAAAGATTGGAGGAATTTTCGGCATCTGAATTTGAGATCAAAGATTTAGGACATCTAAGATACTTCATTGAAAATTAAAGTTGTAAGGTCACAAGAGGGCATTTATATATGTCGAATGAAGTATGTTTTTTATCTTTTAGAAGAGACAAGTATGATGGGGAGTAGACCAGCATCTACTCCAATTGAATGGAATCATTGTCTCTAGGAATCAATTGGAAAGTACTACCCTAATAAAGAAAGATACCAAAAGCTGGTGGAAAAATTGATATATCTATCTCTTACCCGACCTGATTTAGCTTATCTAGTGCATGTTGTCAACCATTTTATGCACTCTCCCAAGATTCCTCATATGAAAGTAGTTGAAAGGATCCTTAGGTATTTGAAGACATGTCCAAAGAAAGAAATTTTGTTCAAAGAGCACAATAAAATTGAAATTGAGGCATATATTAATGCAGATTGGGTTGGATCAATTAGAGATAGGAAGTCAACTTTCAGATATTATACATTTGTTGGAGGAAATTTAGTTACTTTGAGAAGTAAAAAGCAAAATGTTGTTGCAAGATTAAGTGTAAAAGCTGAATATCGGGCTATGGCACATAATATTGTAGAACTATTGTGGCTTARGACCCTCCTTGGTGAGCTCAGGATGAAAGTTGATGATCCTCTCAAGTTGTAATATGACAATAAGGCTGCCGTCAACATTGCAATTAACCTAGTACAATATAATAGGACTAAGCATATTGAGATTGACCAACATTTTGTAAGAGAGAAAATTGTCTCAGGTGAACTTTGCGTTTCTTAATACACCCTATGATATGCAAATTGCTAATGATTTGACAAAAAGACTATTTTCAATGAAATTTCTAGCCTTTGCAAGTTAAACATGACTGACATACATGCTTATCTTAAGGGGGAGTGTTGGATCGAGTGGTTAAATATTGGTGAACTTATTTATTTTTTATGTTACAATTCTATAGTATGTTATGGGCCCTTAGTTATTGAGCCTAAACCTATTTTATTTTATCTTTTTGTTAATATATATTAGTTTGTAGGCCGAATGAGAATACATTGCCACTCATTCACAAACTTCTTCTCTTCTCTCTTCTTCTTCGTCTTCTTTTGTACTTCAGCAAACGGATTTTTTATCAGAGATGTGGTAGAGTAATGGTCCCGTTTGTTTGTCCACCACCCGTGCATGTTAACAAAAACTGTGTTAAGTTTAAGACGTGAAGGAGTGTGTTCCGGCTTTCCGGAGCTTTCCCGTTTTCAGGCTTTCTGTTACATAAAGTTTGTCATGTAGTGGAGTTCTGCTCTTGCGGAGTTTCCTCTTTTATATAAACTTATTATTGTGTTTCTTGATTAGAAAGCCATAGCCTCGACTTTTGCTTCACTCAATCCTTCCAATTGATGAATTGTTGACTACAAAAGGCTTCTTTTACCACGTATTATCAAATTATATTACTTTTTTAAGGCCGTCTTTGGTTTGGTTGGATTCTTACTGGTAAGGAGCTAACCCTAACCCTAACCCTAACCCTCTCTCTTTGACAAATAACCAAGGGTCTATTTAGTTGGTAGTGGGAATCGGAACAAGATTTCAGAATCAAAATCGGAACGGTCCTATTTCCGTACTCTCATTCCAATTCCAAATTCCTGTTGCCTAAGATTTAGATTTAGATTCAGATTATTTGTCGTTTTCTTAAAAATATTTGTTTTATATAACTAGTTTGTGTGCATGCAAGTGAAAATGTGTTCAGTTCCTTTAATTTTATTTTTATGTACAACCAAATCAAATTTTATTAACAAAAAAATGCGTTGCAAAATAAAAATAACCCAACTGCGTCAAAATGATTATTTGTTTGTAAATATCTCCCTGCCCATGACTTCGGGCTACAGGGATGTTCGCCATATATTAGAAAAGAAACCGATTGATCTCATCTTATGTTGGTTGGGTGGTGTTTGGCAACAACACTCTTTATTTTAAGAATTTGTCTATTTTTTACAGTTATAATGTTTTTATAAACACTGAATTTTCAATTATAAAAAAAAAAATTAAAATAAGAAATGTCAAATGCAACCTTAATCTCCTTTCAGAACTGGTTTTTATTAAAGTTGTTCATAGGCCGGACCGGGCTGGGTTTGGGGCAGGTTAATTTGGCCACTTTATTAACAAAAATGTTCAGTTCAAGCCCCAAGTCAGCCTGAGTAGAAACAAGAAAATTTCAGTATATATTATTAATAATAATTATTATATATTATCATATACTGATATATATACATTGATAATATCGGATTGGGTTTATTTAGAAAAGCCTGAGACTCACTCAAAAATTATTCAGGCTTGATACTTACAATCTGAGCCCAAGCCTATTAGTGGGAATGGCAATGGGGCAGGGTGGGTACAGTGGAGCCAGCCACCCCCATCCCTCTCCCTGCCAAAAGAAAAAACACCATTTTCATCCCTCCCCGTCCCCACCATGGGGACAAGGATCCCCCTATCCCTGTGCCCACAAGGGTCCCCACTCCTCACCTTTTTCTTATGATATCATATTTACTTTATCTTTTTGTTCCAGAATATTAAATAGTTATAATTTATAATCCTTTCAAAATAAATCTAAGTATATTCAAATACATTTAAACATATTTAATCATATTATAAAAATGTTAACATAAATTCATTAACTAACTCATAATAAAAACACAAATAATTAACATAAAAGTTTTGGGCCTTAAACCCATCTATTAAAATTATAAATATCTGGTTTCGAATTATATATACAATTGGGATTCCCTTGGGATGGAGATTAGGGATCCTCATCCTATTCCCATCAATGGGAATGAAATTTTCTCCATCCCCATCCCCACCCATTCTCATGGGAATCGGGAAAATAGAGCAAATTGTCATACCTACTCACAAGCTTAAGATTTATGTATTTTTTTTTTCTTTTTCATCCTAGTGGAAAATCAGCCGCTCAACAATAAAGGCTTGGTTTGGGAAGTGTATAAATGCAAATATGTGCAATGCAAAACTTTATATATAATATTATTTGTACTCTACATGTTTGCATTTATACTTCTTTCAAACTGAACCTTTATTTATTTATTTTTTTTTTTTGCTTTTTAAACTGAACGCAAGGAAGGAGTGCAAATACAAATGAGTCCGAATCACCTGCCCACGAGAACTCTGTCCACGCCTACCCACAATACACTACCCCCCGTGAATTGGAAACATCTCTTCCTGCATAATACTATGCAGAGGATAAGATGTTCTCCATGTGTGACTCCGATAAATATGGGCAGAGTTCTCGTGGGCAAGAGATCCAGACTCAATATTTTGTATTTTTAAACACGCACAAAATAACATGTATTTATACATATATAAATATGTACAATACAAATATATATACAAAATGCAAGATTTTGCACTCTACATATTTGTACTTGCACTCCTCCCAAACTGAGCCTAAGTGTTAAATGGTTTAATTAATGACATAAAAATTAAGGAAAATATAAAAAAGAAAAAATACTAAAAATATATAAAATTTATTGTAAAGCTGAAGCATGTCTCCTCATATTAAACAAAAATAAATGTCATGATTGAAAATTATTATTATTATTATTATTATTATTATTATTATTATTATTATTATTATTATTATTATTATTGTTGTTGTTGTTGTTGTTGTTGATAGAAATCGTTTAAAATATAAATAAAAAATGAAAAGACCCTATAATTGGATTAAACACTTGGCGATTCCAATCGGTTTAACTAATTCAAGAATTTCCTCTAGGTGAGTTTGGGTGTTAAACAAACCTTTAAAAAAATACAAAAAAAAAGAGGTTAGTTATCAAGTAACCAAATGTAGACCAGATGAAGTCCCATGCACTTTGAAAACCGAATCAAAAACCCAAATGAACAAAACGAAATGATCCAGACCAGCCCCACGCCCGCCCTCTGTCCCTCCCAGGCCTAACCACTACCAAACAAGACCGAAGAAACTTCGCCCACTCTAGACAACTTTAGTTATCAACAACAGAAGTTGGTTAAAAGCTATACCCAGTCTAACCATAGCAACTCCGCTTGATATATACATAGAAGCTTCCACGTCTGCACCTAATTGCTTTTTGAAGGCTACAAAAAAAATGTTTCTTGAATCCAAACCGTTAGATTTCCCCACGTCCCTATCACCCCATTCGATGTTAAGATGTTTGTACAGATAGGGTTTCATATAACTACGGCAGTATCACAGTATCGCTTCTCGTCGCATACATCAACAATACCATATACTAAAATCTAAAAGCAGTATATACATAATACATCATTTGTAGTTGTAGTCAACGGTCAAAAGGTCTACTCTACAGTATGAATAAACTTGATTCACGAAAATGCCCTTACCTGAATCCAACTGCCAGAGACAGGGCGCCAACGAAAACAAACACTAATTCTGTTTTGAAGAATCCCAAGAAATCTTCTTTTTTTTTTCTCCCTCTCTCTTCGGCATTTCAGAAAATCAAAGAAGAGGGAAGCGTTAGTGGCAAGTAACCTTCCTTATTCCCCTCTCTCTCTCTCTGTAGATTATTCCTTGCGGACTTCTTTATTCTTGCATCTCAAGCTTCTCAGAAATCCAAATTGATCCTTCTCCCACCATTTCTTCATCATTGCTTAGTTTTTCTTACAGAACAACCAAGGATCCACCGCTGAAGGTAAAAGGAAAAGGAAACCAGAATCTGAAAGCAAATTCTTGAATTATCTCTTGGAGCTTTACTGTATCTTGACCAGATTCAGTGCGATTGCAGGGGTTTGATCCGTCAATTTGAACTCTGGTAGAGACCTTGACTTCATCAATTTACCAATCTCCATTCGTCTCCAAGGTTTGGCTGAGTTCATTTTTTTTAGACTCTGGTTTTCTTATTGTCTCTGTGTTTCGGGACAAGAGTTTGGTTGTATGATTCCTTCTAAGCTCCTCGGGATTGTAAGCTGGAATGTTCTGTTTGGTTGAGAGGCGTTTAATTTCTTTTTTTTTTTTTTTAATTTTCTGCTGATTTTGCTTACGTTCCTTGGCTTCTATTGTCTGTGTCATAGAATTACAAAGAGTTGAATCTATTCGTGGTTTTGTAGAATAATTGAAGATTGTTGTTGCATAAGAAAACGAAATGTTGGGGGAACTCATTACCAGGAGTCTCATGTATGTTGCTAATTATCTTCCTATAATCCTATTCATCTCTACCTATCTTGATTTTCTTGACTCTGATTTCATTTCTTTTGAGACTGTAATTAGGACAAAATAATCTCGATTCTTCTTGAACCTAGAATTGCTTTCGGATTTTGAATGGCAGGATGGTGCTAGGGTATATATATCCTGCGTTCGAGTGCTTCAAAACCATGGAGAAGAACAGAGTCGAGATTGATCAACTCCGGTTTTGGTGTCAATATTGGTAGGGATAAGCTTCCCTTAGCTTTCAAATTTTGCTAAAGCTATGAAATTATCAAAGGCCTTATTGGAGTTTCAATTTTCAACCGGTTTTGCTCTTCCTTCTTGTTCAAACGAATCCAGTGACAGAGGAAGCCCACCATTATTAGGAAATTTCTTACCAAAGGAAGAAAGCGTAGGTAGACTTGGTTTTAATTTTCAAATAACGTTTAAAAAGTGTCTGAAGAAGGCTGGTGAAAGGTATAGAAGTATAGATTACTAGCTGTAGACTTGTGAGGTTGCCAATTTAGTGATTAACCATGGCGTACACGTGGAGGTTTAGGAGATGGGACCCACATGATTCATAGTCAGAAGAAGGACATGATTAGTTAAAGATTAGTAAAGAAAGTCCATAGGTTTGGTGATCAGATTTGCTGGTTCTATCTGATCTCGGTAGATAGGATGTGAAAGGAAAAAAGGATACTGTGTTTAAAATAAAGAGTTTAATTTTTTATAATAAAAATATTTTAAAAAATGATTAAGATTTGTTTTGCATTTTCTAAATAATAATAATAAATGGGATTAGCTAGAGCCCCATGAGTCCATGACTTACCAAATGCGCAATGTTTTGAGGATTAGAATGCATTGATTTGATGCATCCAAACTTAGGGACCTTTTGATAAAAGCTGAAGATAAACTGAAAAGGTTATTGCTTTGTCAGCATAAGTTCCTTTTAAAGAGGTTGTGTCATTTTATTTCTGATGCTGAAAGTTGGGTAAATTATCATAAAAAATTAATTGTTTAGTTATTCTAACAATTAAAAGACAAAGCAACAAGTGTTTTGTTCACCAACTTCGGTTGTTATTCAAACAGCCCCTTACTGGTGAACACGAATCAAGTTAATGTTGAGAAATTCAAGCTTGGCTTGTAATAAGCTTAATTCAACTCAGGCTATATTAAGCTTCATGCCAAATTTAAGCTTGATATATAGACTCCATTCAGCTCAATCGGTATTATTAATGTGGTGGTATTTGTCAAAATTCATGAGGCACGTTTTGATTGATCAGAGGAAAAAGTGATTTTAAACTTCTTTTCCCATTAGGCTCGGTTTGTTTCATTTGCACTAGTATTAATGCAGGGGAATGTAAATGGACCGAACGTAAATTCTGTCATCCTTTTCAGTTTTGCTTCAGATTTTAATGTTGTCTTGTTTGTAAGAAGTAAAATAGTAAGTAATACGAGTTCATCCCTTCTTTTTTCTTTATTTTTTATAATATCACATACTACACAGTGTGAGTTTGTCTTATGCTGCTGTTCCAAACCTGGGTAAAGGAGGGAGCGTCAAATTGGCAGCCACCACTAAAATTTTTGCCAAACTTTCACTATATGGATCCATATGGATCCTGGTGGGGCAGAAAAGGGTGTAAGAGAGATGGAAGAGGAAGGTTTTTTGTTTGGGAGGAGTAAGATAGGAAATAAAATGACATGCTCCTCACTTTATATGAGAGAGAATTGAGATAGAAGAAAAGTGTAAATTTTGCATCAGTTTTTTAGATGCAAAATTTGCACTGTCAATTAGTGCAAATTTGCAATCAGGTAGGAGTGTAAATCATAATAACCAACAAGCAGATGTGGAAGTGGAACTGAACCGGGTGCAAAATTTGTATCCATTTCACATTTGCACTGCAAACAGAGTAACATTCATAGGAGATGGTTAAAATCATCTGGTTACGCAGGTGTGCCGTGTTGGATCCTTCAAAACCATGGGCAAGTTTGGCAGCCTCAGATCCAACTAGGAGTGCTCTGTACCCAGATCAATATGCAACCTCATAAAAAATGGGATGCACCTGAATCCAAGTCGCCAGCCACTGCCTAGAAGAGACAATCGGACCATCAGAACCAGGATCCCAAAAAGGAATTCACCTTTGAGCGTGTAAATACAGACCGTGAATGTTATTCACACGGCACTCTTCCTATTGGGGATCCAGGGGCTTTGAGCGTGTTGCAAGAGTCATTGAGGGGCCAGGGGCTTTATCTCCAAATTTACTAGAGACAGTTTTGTATTATGTAGAAGACAAGCCAGGAAAAAGATGTTGGTCTTTCTTGTGAGTCTGTCACCAACTAAAATCCAATTATGAATAAAAGCAAGTGCCACTGATATTAAGGATGGGCTTAAAACGTATAGAGGCATCCATGCACCTCTGATAAGACTTGGCATTGGCTTGTTGTGCACTGATGGGCTGGTTAATCCAATTAGTATTTGACTACTTGTCAAATGTGAGTGACATCTGAAGGAAGATTCTCTTGAATAACTGGTCAATGAAACAGCTTTACAGGAACAGTATTGAGTAAATGAAAATCTGCATTCTCTGAACAGACTGTATAGCTTATTTTTTCTCAGGTGAAGATAAGAACCTGCTGTTAACAAATCTTGCAGGGTCATTGTTGCACTGGTTACTGCTTCTGAGAGGGTGGGGGATATCTTCATCTCATGGTAAAGCATAGCTTAACTCTTCAGTTATTTGTAGATATTCAGAGATAGAGATAAAAGATTTCAAGTTTCTTATGAAGAATATACTTGCTTGTGAAGGTTACCCATGTATGGGGAGATGAAGCTGGCCTTCATGATCTACTTATGGTTTCCAAGAACCAGGGTAATTCTTCTATGGTATTAACTGAAAAATAACAAAAGAAAATTACTGATTACTGGGTTCTGCAATTTATACTCAATTTCCTAATGTTAGAAGCTTAACTGCAAATGTAGGGAACTAGTTATGTCTATGAAACCTTCCTGCGGCCTTTCATGACGAAGTATGAGCCAGATCTCGATCAGAATATGGGGGAACTGAGGGCAAGAGCCTGGGATTTAGCTGTGATGCATTGGAAGAACTGTGCTCAATTCGGAGAGACAACATTTGTTCAATTCCTCCAGTATTTAACTTCAAAGGCTAAAGGCAACGAAATTCCGGTACATCTCTGTTCCTTGGCAATCTGAGCTTAATTATATGACATTTTCCCAATCTAAAACTGTGCAAACAGCACAGTTCCCTGCATGTTCACACATCAAATGATCAAAAACTTCTATAATAAACCACCCAAGATCGATCTGTAACTGAGCTTTGAGTCTCATGGCTCCATTCCATTCAAGTGAAACACACCCACTTAAGTGAACAATCAGTCAATCCATAAAATTAGATTCACCCAGCATTCTTTCTCTTAATTCTTGCAGAAGATCGATCCTCAGTACCCCAGTGCGCCTCCTCTCAACACAATCTCCTCCGGCGACTGGCAGACAAAACATCCCAGCAACAGGCGGTCACCGTCGACATCACCACCGCCAAAACGCCGCTCGTGGTTCCCAACATTGGGTTCCCTTTACAAATCTGACTCAACCACCTTTCAACAAGCCACTAAGACGGCCATGCCGAGCCCCAAGAAGAAAAAATAGTTAAAAAAAAAAAGACAAATTGTACTTCAAAATTCTTTCGTTTCTTGTTTTTCCCAATTAATTCCACTTCATTCTTTCTTTTCTTTGCATCAATCCTCTATAAAAAAACGGAAGTTTCAATCTTTTTAAAAAAACGAAAAAAGAAAAACAAAGAAATTAATTACACAAAGAAATAGAATCTATTCTGTCAATTACATAGAGGTTCGTCACACCATCACCGTCAGAGGTAGATAGCGGCCGTTATTGATGCCGCTTTTCATGTCTCCTTCCCACCCAAATCGCTCCGAGCAACCGATTGAAGACCCGCGTGATCACCGGAATAATATGTTGTTTGATAAACCCAAGACAAGCGTTGACCGGATTCCTAAAGTAGTCGCTGGAGACCCTGACCCACATCCGGTGGAAGAAATACGTACCGGAGGAGCTCGGCGACGAGGACATAGGCTGGAGGTAAGCCCAGGCGGCCTGCTTGACGAGGCGGTTCCTGATGGAGATCTCGTAGCAGGACTGACTGCCGGGGCCGGTCGGAGACTGGACTACCGCCGCCGGTGATGAAGGGAGGAGGTCCTTCAAGGAGGTGTAGGTCTGTGATCGTAACGAAACAAGCTCGAAATCGGTCGGCAACGACGACGACTTGTCGCCGTTGACGACGGGAAAGCTTGAGCTCTGAGCCGGGAGATCGAGCTTCGTGGGGACCACAGAAGAAGATATGGAGTTCCTCCGCCGGAGCATCGACGACGGAGTGTCCAGTCCATTCGTCTTCATAGATGGAAACTAAGAGAAAAAACAGAGAGAACTTCACTGTGGAGGAGATTTGAATAGAGCAAACGACTAAAATCCCACCTGTTATCCTGAACGAGGACTCACCGGCGGAGTATGATCCACTCCGACTATTCCTTCTCTTTCCGCCTCCATCTATTCTCCCCCCCTCTTCTTGCACTTATTACATATAATATAGGGGATTGCTATGATGCTATCATATATCATGACCGTTCAATCAGTGGGCCTTAGGATAATCGGAATAATAGTATCCGTCCGAGTTTTTTGATTGTAGCCTGTAGGACAAAAGCGAATACCGAATGATTCAAACGGTCGAGAGTTGAGTGATGCTAATTGGAGGGGCAAAACAGACAAAGGGACTCGCTAAGCCGCTATCATATAATGCAGATGAGAGTACGTAGTATCATCATCCTTTTTGGTAATATCTGGAACCTCCACGTGTCGATGACAAAGAGTCTGATCTGTGGGGCCGACTTATCGAGGGAGGAGCTTATTATTGGCTATAGCTTTCACCGTTTCACGCTGTCTATCTCTGCGCGGAATCTTCGTCGCGACCTACCAGGCTACCAGAAAGCAACATTAAGCCACTTGTTTGTTATTGGGTTTTTTAGGTTTTATTTTAGGGTCTCGTCGGGTCAAAGTTCAAATGCGAACGGCTTCACATGGTAATGCTGGGACCCTGAGGTCCGCAGTGCAGGTTTTGTTTGCCACGTGGACGGATGACATGACAGATTTAATCTAACGGATGAACAAATGGCCACATGTGATATCCCAACCCCGGTTGATCACTCTATTTTTTTTATTATTCAAGATGGAAAAAGGATTCTAATCCGATGGCTACAGTATGGAGTTGTATTCATTAGCCATGGAATCTCGGTTTATGTTATCCCGTCAAGTCCCATAATCCAAGTTTGACTTGTAGATGAGGGACGTTGTGCTGAGCTGAATTCCGATTGAATCTTTGTTGTTTTTCGCGAAGAGACGGAGAGGTTGCAGAGCGCTTTTGCCTTTTTATGCTTTTGCGCTTTTGGGCCGGGTCCAATCTTTTGGACTTGTTTCCTTTTGTGGTTTCGGGCGGTCCTATTAGAAGCATCCCAGTTGCTAACAAAAGTAAGGGAAGGTCTATGGTCTGAGGACCGATTTTACAACTTGCCACGTGTTTTGATATTGATCTTCCCTTAGTCTGGAATTGAAATGGGAATGAAATCCATAGAAGTGGGAATCGGAATGGCCTATTCCTCTTAGATGGGTATCGGAATTGGAATCGAAATTCATGTAAATCAGAATTGGAATGGTTGATTCCTCCCACCTGTTTGTTTTAGACAGAAATCGAAACCCAAATCCAAATCAGCTGGAGTGGATTTTCAATTTTTCATTTCTAAGAGAAGGAAAGGGAATCCCTCAAATGGAAAAATGCAATTTCACCCAAAATAGAAATGAGATTATAATTCCATTCAATCAAACAGTTAGATGGTATGGTGTATTCCGATTCCAGACCCCTATTGTTGAGCTCGGATCTCCTGCTCACAAGGATACTACTCATACCTACCCACAGGACATTACAAACATATATTGAGAACATTTTCCCAATTAATATGTTATCATTCATGGAAAGATATTCTCAATGTACAGATGTTGTGTTCTTAGATAAAATCCTTGTGAGCAGGAGATTCCAAAATTGACCCTCAACACTCAATGTCCCACAAAGTGATTCAATCTCATTCACTTAGGCTCACTTTGGAAAGAATAAAAATGTAAATATGTACAATATAAATACATACAAAATATAAAGTTTTACACTCTACATATTTGCATTTGTACTCTTTTCAAATTCAGTCTTATAGAATTAGAAAAATCATCGATGTGGGTCCATTTACATTTTGAGTGGACAAGGTGCAGCTGAGCTCAGAAAGATGATATAAGCGACCCACCACTAAGAAATCTGACGTGGATTTTAAGTGGGCAAGGTGAAACTGAGCTGGACAAGAAGGCTTTGAGTTGGGAAATTAAGTGGAGGATATGTTAAGCCTTGACCTAATCTAAAAAACAGAGAAATGGTCCAAGAAGTTGGACCGCAGCCAAAGTGGAATATGGTTCAAGACTTGGAACCCTTTGATTTTTGGACGCAAAGACATGAAAGCAAACCATTATAACATTATTGCAGTGGCAAGCAACGACCGACCCAACAAGCAACATTTTGCTCTGTTGGTTTGCTCTCGTCTTTGAAAGTTCGACATGCCAATGACTAATAGAAGACAAACCGGAAAAGACCACGTGGCTGTAGTCATTCGTCCATCAGAGAAGGTGTCGTCCAGATGTGCGTGGTGTCTTGTCATTATCAGCTTCCATGCAATAAAGAGCCTCTTGTATTGCACCTTTCCTTCAATCATAGCACCTTGCAGCAAAGAGCTACTGGACTGTGGCTTGCCACGTGGAAAGATGGTTTGATAAACAAACATTAGCCATTTCAGGCTGCCACTTCAGTTAATAAAACCATTTGATCCGCCAACTAAATCACTGGCCACTAGTTTTAAGCTTTAACCTCATCCTTCTGGTTCATGTGTCCCTTTCCACATTTTTCAGTTTCTGGGTAACAATTAACAAATACACAAGCAACACATATAGGCTGCAATTTGGATTGGGCTCGACCCAAACTTTGATAGATGAAACCCAAATTGGGTTGGACTGGGGTTCAAAATTTCCATTTATAAGAACTGTACATGTATAGTGTTCCCAGCTTGTAGCATTAGACAGTCTTAAAATCAGATTCAGAGCAACCCATTATTTAAGAACTCAAAATTCAGACCAACCCATTTGTGCTTGGCTGAGAAATGACAATCTGAGGCTGAGTTTGGCCCGGCTCATTGCATCCAGTTGGCACACCTACAGTGGGCCTAGCTATAATGGAGCCACAACCAAAAATATTATACAAATAGGAAATATAAAATAATATCTTCTGAAATTATTCAAACTAAAATATTATATGTCCCTTAATTTTACAAGCTAAGATCATCTAGTGGATGGTATTTATAATTTTTCTCTCTTTCTCTCTCTTGACATTGTGTCTTTGATTTATTAGAAGACCAGAAAATCATAACGGTTGTGATTTGAGGCTTCTGCATCTCAACTTTTGTGATTTGAGGGCCCTATCAGGTCCGTCTAAACCCATCATGAACTTAATGAACCGAATATAGAAACCCATGAGTGATATGAAGTTGACACGTAATATATCTCAATCTACTTGCGCCTTTGAAAAGATAAAAGGGTTTCTACATGATAAAGACCAACTTTTGAGTTTTAATATCTTTTTAATGTATTTTGTAGAATAAGTTAACTTTCTAGAGGGAGAGCTGATTTCTCACGATGATTTCTCGGTTTGCTATTGTGACCATGTGTTTTCCACGTTTAATGTTTTTTACTTTAAATGTTTCTTGTTTTTGTTGTTTGATTGAATTTCATTTTAAACGTTTTTTATTTTTTACCTCAAATTAATACCCATCAAAGTGTGCCACATCAACATTTAGTGTTTCAGGAAATACTGGGGCATTGAGAGAAATAAGAATTCGACGTTTCTCCAAATGCCCCATACACAAAAATCAAAACGTTTCAGTTTTCTACCATTTATTTGATAAACGATAAAACCAAACAATTGTTTCATTTTGCTTCGTATGCAATAAATGCCAACACTTTAATAAGCACCAACAAAATCAAACATTCCCATTATCATGACCCCATGCTTTGATGTCTATGTAGGTTTTAAACATGGTTCATATGCAAATGTGAGCCTATCTTAGTATGGATAAAGTTAGGATTGTAGGACTGATTTTTAAAAACTAAATAGATGTGTTATAAGTGGAGCCATATATAAAATGTATTAATGGCTATACATTTTGATGCCTATTTTGGTGTTACATGTGGTACATATGCATATCTCAACCTATATCTTGACAAAGCCAAAAAAAATTAATAAGAATCCAAGCTGTACATTTTATTTGCGGCACTTGTTTTTTTACAACTCAAACAAACAAGTGCAAAATTATTTTATTAATTGCACCACCTTCAACCAAATAAGACAAGTGCCAATGTCAATGCAAAACTAAATCAGATTTGCACTCCCATGCATTTGTGTTAGTGCAAGTATGATTTGCACTGCAACCAAGCTCTGCTTTAGGGTTTTCAAATTTCAACGATATATCTTGGCTTAAAAACTACAACTCCGATGGGATGAACAATATCAATAGGATTGTCAATAGGTCGGGTTGGACCTGATGGACCGGAACTGGTTGGGTCAATTCTGGTTCCAGCAAGTAGAATTGATGGGTTGGTTCCAGTTCCTGGTATATTGTCTCGGGATTAACTAGATGTTGGGGCCCAACAGCATAGTCTGTTGGGACAGTTTCTGGGCTGGGCACGTTCTGGGCAATTCACTTATTCACGCCCATGCTCTGGTTTTAGTAAAAATAAATTAATATGTAATTACTAATTTATCCATTCTCATGGTAATGTGGCATTCCCAGAAATTCTCTCAACAGCATAGACTGTTGGCCCCCAACAGCTAAAGTTTTTCCATTGTCTCGATTCTTATCGATTCGGAACTAGTTCCACCCAGTCTCGAATCGATTCAAACCCAACCCAACTTTTATATACACACACACACACACACACACATATATATATATATATATATATGTGTGTGTGTGTAATAATTATATATGTATATTAAATGTATAATATATTAAATAAATTAATATTATATATATATATTATTTTTAGAAGGTTTATTATAATCGGGTCCATCACATCAGACTCGATTGTTCTGAGAATCAATTGGTTCGATTTTGTGTCTAAACTTACATACACTATCAGGTCCAGTTCGGCTTCATGTCCTTAGCATTTTTTGTCGAGTCGGGTCTGGTTCCACTATAAACCAACCCAGACCCAACCCGTTGACAGCCTTAGATATCAATACATTAATAATAATGTCCATCCTTATCTTCTTTCATTTCATCACTTGCAGAAGTGGGGCTGTCAATGGAGTAGGTCTACTGGTGAATCTAAACCAAAAGAACTGATTATAACGGTTCTGGTTTCATGGTTTTGTCCCAATTATTAAATAATTGGATCAATTTCAACTTTTATCCGTTTCAAATGGATTTACACCCAGAACTAATTATCTTATTAAATATATACAATATCTTTTTTAATTTTTTATAATTTTAACATATTTTCCATTTGAAATGGTAAATTTGATAGATAAGATAATATTAGTTAAAAATGTTTAATTCATTAACATATAGATAATTTAGTATTTTTTATCATTTTTATTATATTTGTATTATCAAAATTTAAATTTTAAGTTATCTATACTATATTATATAGCGATATGGTCCACGTTATCAACCTTCTCCTTCTCCCATTCCCCCTTCTCTCATTTCTCCTTAACTATTTTTCCTTTCTCCCTTACCCCTTCCCAATGGCAGCCCTCTCCTCTTCATTAGAGTTCCATTCCAACTCCCTCTATCTCATGTTCCCAATCACTTAGCCAACACTCTCCTAAAATTTCTCTTAAACTATCTCTCCTACCTAAAACTCCTCCTAAAACACCTATTAATCTAACTTACATGCCCAATAAACCATGTCAAAACCAAGAACATGATTAAATTAATTTGGGTAGTTAAATTAATTTGTGAAATATTTTTTATATTTTCAATAATTACCGATATTATTGAATATTACTCAATAAATATCAACACCTAAACTATAATTTTCCATAATTTTGGTAAATTGGAAAAATTAATTACTATAAATTATTTCCTGAAAATTACTGATTTGGTAACTTAATTTCAAAAATTTTTGAAAATTAATTATTGAAATGAATATTTACTTAAATTACTAATAAATACAAATTTAATATTTAAAAATTATCATTAATTTTTTAGCAACAATTAGTTGTTGATATTTTTAGTAATTTTAGTCAATTTATTAATATTTATTGATATTATCAAATAATAATTAAAAATTTTCAATAATTTTTTAGCGGAAAATTAATTTCAATAAGTATAAATTTATTATTTATAGTTTTAATTTTGATATTTACTATAATTTTTAGCAATAATTAGTGATTTTGTTAATTTAATTACTAAAAATTATTGATTTTGATAATTTAATTACTTCCAATTATTTAAATAAATAATTGGAAAATTTTAATAATTTTCATAATTATTATAGCCATAATTGGAAATATATTTATGGGTTTGGGGCAGCTAGGTATTTGGCGGGGATGGGGAAAATTGTATCTCTACCCCGGGTTGTGTAGCCCCATAGAGCAATAATTTTTAAGCCATATAAGCCCTAATATATTTTCTCATGCATCGGATGAGGCCCGCTAGTTATTTAAATAAGCAAATATAATTTTCAGTACAATCGAGCCTATCGTGTTTGGACCTGATAGACCCCTATTAACTATGGTTTTTTAATAGCAATTGACTCGAAAGGTTGGACTGTTCAGTCTGAGAACCATCCAAGCAACCGGTTCCATTTTACCCTAAACCCAGTCTATGGCCAAAAACCGTTGAATCGGTCAATGACTCGTTGCCCAAGCAATCAAACCATCAACCCATTCGACCCATTCAACGGTTTTTAGCAATTTTTTAATTTTAATTATTTTTTTATTTTTTATCAGAACATACTATCCATTCAAACCGTATGGTCGAACCGTCAACCCAAAAACCGGTGACCAGATCAGTTCCGATTCGGGGTCGTTTTTTTAAACATTGCTATTAACTAGGACGGTTTTAGTTATGTGATTTTGTAGACTTATTCTACCTAGACTCGAGCCGTTTAGCCCTACCAAGACCAAGAAGAGCCGAGTCCCTGTCCCTGTTTTCCTAACGAGCTGTGTGGCGGTAGTCTACTGGGTTCTTTCTTTTTTTATATTTCTATTTTCTCTCTCTTTTCTGTAAGGGTAATCCTGTCCACAAAAAAATTATTTGTTTTCCGCTCACGTCTTTTCACATTATTTTATTAACATCGCTGAATTTGTCAATTTGATAAATTCCATTAATATTTTTCCAAAAAGGCAAAAGCCCTATATTGCCCATGCTTGTTCTTGAGATTGTAGTGTGTGGCATCAGCCTTGCTACTTGTACATTCTCCTCGCCTTAGGTTCAAACAATGGAGGGGAAGCTGCAATTACCAAAATGACCCTCTACACAAAGTATTTCCACTCGTAGCTGTTGGGCCTTCTATTATGCCACAATGGGCCAACATTTGTTGGACCACAAAGGACAATCTTATTTCATTATGAGCCCCTGATGTCCTGTAACTGTAAGCCCAATTAAATGAAATAATCTTTTATACTAAATTAAATTATTAATCATTTTTAAATGATGGTTATACTTTCATACTCCACTAAATATGCATCATAGAGGAATTAGAATTTTGTAAAGAATAGAGCCCAACAAAATCTCTACCATCATCATATTGGGTTGCTAAAGAAAAGCCCATCATCTCCAGCCCAATAACGATGAATTAAGGAGCTTTCGTTTGCATTGATCCCAGGGGTAAAAGATACATTTGGCGTTTCCTTCTTTACTTGATTTTATCATCTCTCTCTGTGTTGGTGGGGACTGGGGATAGCCCGATAGATCTCTCTCTCTGGCAGCAATGGCGACATCTCTGCTCTTCCCTCCCGTCTCTTCTGGTACGGTTTTCTGCTCTTCTTCCACTTGCTTCTCCAAGAGCGAGAAGTTCTCGCTTTCTAGTCTTTCTGCTTCACAACTGCTCTGCAAATCCCATCGACGGCACCATTTAAAGGTCAGAGCTCTCAAAGAAACAACCAAAGAACCCAATACAAGCCCTCCACCTTCTGCTGAGGAAATTACGGAGAAATTTGGCCTTGAAGTCGGTCTCTGGAAGGTATTAATTCAGGGTTGTGTTTAAATTAAAATTTCTAGTTTCTTTTCCAAGAATTCAGTTGATCCGTAGCAGAGGCCTGTAACTTTACCCCCGAACCCCCCGGGGGGTTTCTTTCAGACATATTCTAAAATAGAATAGAAAGATAGCCTGGGTAAGGGGAGAGAGAGAGAGAGAGAGAGAGGGTTTTGAGTTTGATAATGGTGATGATGATGAAAAGCCTCAATAACCCATCTTTTGTTATGTTCTGAAATTAATTATTAATTAACCCAGTGAGAGAGAGATTGATGAGTTACATTATACTTCTCAACATTTAGATTTAAAATTTATTTGTTGGGTTTTGTTTATTAGATACCCTGTTAATAATTGAATGGATACATGCAGATATTCAGCTCAAAAGAGGGAGGAAAGGAAGGGAAGGGAGAGAAGTCCAAGGGAGATCAAGCCAAGGAACTGTTGGCTAAATATGGAGGAGCTTACCTTGCCACCTCCATTACTCTCTCTTTGATCTCCTTCTCACTCTGTTACGTCCTGATCAGCGCAGGCATTGACGTCCAGGCGTTGCTGCAGAAGGTAAGCCATCTGGAGACCTTGATCTTGCTTCTATCCACTACACACTTAGTGGGTGTCTACAATTCAATCTCCCAGGGGTCAGAGGCCATGGCCTTGTGTTTTCTTCTTTGTAATGCAGTTCCATTTGCACTGGTTTGCAAAAACCATGGGAGTACAAAATACAAATGACTTGAATGCAAATTATCAATATTTCTTTTTCTTGTTGCAACTTTTTTTACTTTGTTTTGTTTTGTTTGTTTACCGTGTCAGCGAAGTGAAATAAAACTTAAAACAAAGTAAAACCTGAAGCAAAAGTGAATCAGAATTTACACTCTTCTGATTCATACATATTACCATGCATTTGTACTTATGCAAATAAAACTGCATTACAAACAGAGAGAGCCCAAATTCCAACTCATGCTTCACCAAACTGAATTTTAATTTTTTTTTTTTTCAGGTGGGAATCACAGCCAATGAGACGGGTGAAAAAGTAGGGACTTTTGCATTGGCATATGCTGCACATAAAGCTGCATCTCCGATCAGGTTTCCTCCGACGGTAGCTCTCACTCCCATTGTAGCCGGTTGGATAGGAAAGAAAACCAAAAAGGAAGAGTAATTTGTAGTGTACGATTCTAATTTCCTTCTATTTGTAATGTGATTAGAGTGTTTGTTTAGTGCAAATAATGGTTCACATCCTAAGTCGTTTCTTTCTGCAGTGTTATGTTGTCAAGGAGAATGGTTGATACGTATTCCTTCGGCGCTGAAGGGCACATAATACACCCACTGACCCGTATGAACTGATACGTTTCTAAATATATTTTTATATTAAATTTATGTTTTTAAATTATTAACTAAAATACAAGCCAAAATTTTGTGTCTGTACTTCTAAAAACATGTAAGAAATAAATTATAAATTTATGATGCATTATTTTGCAATAGGTCGAACATTCACATGAATAATCAGTTCCTTAATTTTGCATTTTGCATTTTAATTTATATTAATGGGTTTGTGTTTATAAGAAGTATGTTGAGTTTAGATTTATGTAAGTTAAGACAGTTCATCTGTATTTTACATACAAAATGTAAATAACAATTCGTTCACATCTAGTATGTTGTTTTGATAAAATGGTTTGGCAAAATGAAGGGATGCATGATTTAAAAATGCCACTTAGATTAGAAGGAAAATTTTAAAACATTTTTTAAGTTAATAATATTGTATGGAGCTGACAGTTGGCCTTTTGGGTCTAAAAATTAAGGGTAGTGAAATATGAATATTAAGATGGATGAATGGGAAATTAGAAGGTCAAAGATGAATTTATTCATTAAACCTAGAGCAATTCCAATAAGTGATAAAATGAGAAAAAGTAAATGTCACATTCATAGAAAACCATAAAGGTGACGAGAAATCAGCCACCATTAGAAAAAACCCCACCAAAAGAGATATAGGTTGAAGGGGAAAAATGACACTATGGAATGGTGGAACAAGATTGTTGTAAAAAATGATAAAGAAAGTAGAATGGAATTTATCGTATTCGTTATTCAAACCGCAACTTGCAAGAGATTGATATTGCATAATCTTGAAATCGGGAATTGCAGGGGAAAATGAGGGTTGAGTCATGCCACTTAGTCATTCTCCTTAAAATCGCATTTACCCCCTACGGTGCAGCCAGGTGATCGCAAATTGATCGTCAATATAAAACAGCCCGCATGCTACTAGTAGGTGTGCACTCGCTTACTAGACCTCCGCGAACCACAAAATGATGATGATCAGATTTTACAAAGAAGACTATCGAAAATTGATGTGTATCAACTGGGTCGACTAGCATCCTTTTTATAGATTGGTCTCAGACCCGAATGGACACAACGGTGTCCTTTCAAACAGTAGTCTCTTCAGAACAGTGCACATGTTCGAAGAAGCATAGGGAGGAAGAAAACGTTTTAATTTAAAAAAGAAATTCGAATTCGAATTCGAATACGACACATCGTGCATGTGTACACATACACGCACACGCACCTGGCCTGACTCGGGGCGCGTGCGTGTGTAAACGCACACGCACACCCCCAACCCCCCTCATATGTATGGAATATCTATAGTGCTCTCCTCCTATGGGTCCCCTACCCATAGAGAGAGAAAAACTATAAATATACTCTATTTCCACTCATTTCCCAAACAATGTGGGACAATGAGTATTCCCATGCACTCAGGAGTGGGAAGAAGAAAAAACAAAAACAAGAGAAGGAGGAGGGAGATTCTTGAAATTTTGAATCTCCCTTCAACAATCCCCCATAAGATTCAAAATAACAAGAAGATCGAACAATCTGAGCATCACAGTGAGAAAAGTATTCATGGTGATGTCTTTTGGTCTCCAATCAACACTTAGGTATGACAGACTATGTTAAGAGGTGTTTTAATCGATTTGTAGTTATAGTGTCCAAATTTTCTAAGAATACTTTCTACATAGTGTGATTGGGAGAGAATATAGTTTTCTTGTTGTTTATGGATTTTAATCCCTAAGATTACAACAACCTCACTCAAATCTTTAGTATCAAATTTGGACATTAGAAATTGTTTTAATTCTTTTACTACCTCTAGACTTGTTCCCATTATTAACATATCATCAACATATAAATAGATCATGACTCCTTTATCATTTTAAAATTTTCTATACACATCTATCAAAATCATTTCTGTTAATATCCATTAGTTACTGACACATTATTAAATTTTTCATGCCATTGTTTAGGAGCTTGTTTTAAGTCATATAAAAACTTAATTAATTCCCCATTTAAGAAAATTGTTTCTACATCCATTTGATGAACTACCAGTTTGTAGATAGATGCTATAGCAAACAAAGCTCTAATTGTTGTTAACCTTACAACCGAGAAGTAGGTATAAAAAAAATGTACATCTTTCTTTTGTCTGAACCCTTTAGCCATTAACCTGGCATTGAATTTATCTATTGTACCATCTAATTTTATTTTTTTCTTAAAAATCCATTTACAATCCAGTGCCTTAGTTCCATGTGGAAGATCTACAAATTCAAAGTGTGATTAGTGACTAAAGAGTCAATTTCACTTTTTATGGCTTCTTTCCAAAATATTGCATCAGGTGAAGTTACGACTTACTGATAAGTTACTAGGTCCTTGTCCATCAGAAATGTGAACATTCCGTCACCCAAATTTCTCTCTTCTTTTTCCTTTTTACTTCTCCATAAGTCTGGTTCTTGCCTAAGTGAGGTACTGACTCCTTGAGCACTCAATTGTTCTAAGTTTCTGGTTAAGGTTCCCTATTTAATATGACACCATTTGGTGCATCTTTTTGCGCGGTCTTTCGGCTATTTACAAGTCGGGAAGACTGAAAGTCAGTCCATTCCCATTTGGCACAATGAATATCTAGCCGCCAAAAGACACAGTGCCGAAAAGACGTGCGAAGCCCATTTTGGGCTAATTTCGAGAAGTTCCGAATGAAGCTTCTCACGTCTTTCATGTTTTAATGTTGTGTGGAAAGAACCAAAACGTCTTTCACGTTTTAATCTTGTGCGGAAAGAACCAAAACGATGCACGGAAAAACACACATGCCAAACGGTCTTCGGGATGCCCAGATCTTCTGTCAAAAGCTCAATGCGTCTATTGACTCTCAGAGCTACGAGAAAATCTTCTAAAAAAAGACTTGCCAAACAAGCCATATTTCTTTTAGGTTCAAGTATTCCAACATTTGCTAAGTAGCCCCAAACTTTTAGGTAGTTCAAACTAGGTTTTCTGTTATGTCAATGTTCAAAGGGTATTTGTCCTTTTTTCTTGTGTGGTATTCTATTATATAGGTGACAAGCTGTTATGATTGCTTTCCCCACACAAATTTAGAGATGCACCTAAACTAATTTGCATTGCATTCATCATTTATTTTAGTGTTCTATTAAATCTTTCTGCAACTCCATCATATTCAAATTGATAGGGAGTTGTGGTTTCATATATGATTCCATTTTCTTCAAAAAATTTTCTAATGATTTGTCCATCATATCCATTCCCTCTGTCTGTTTTAAGTCTTTTTATGTTCTTTCCAAACTGATTTTCTACTTTAGTTTTGTAGTTTATAAAAGCTTGATCGGCCTCATCTTTTGATCTATGTAGAATTACTTTTGCATATCTAGAGAAGTCATCTATAAATGTTATGTAGTATCTTTTTTCCTCCTCTAACTTCATGACATTTAAGGTCTCCTAGATCACTGTGTATAATTGTAATAATTCAGTTTCTCTATGTACACTTTTATGAAGTTTCTTAGTGAATTTTGTTTCTACACATACTTGGCATTCTTCATTTGTAAAAGTAACAGGAACATTCAAAACTCTTAACTTACATAATCATTTTAAATAAGGAACACTATGATGCCCTAGTCTAGCATGCCAAATATCAAAAGATTCAACAATATAAGCAGAAGAATAAGCAGTTTTATTCATAATAATATCAGAAATATTCAGTACAAACAATCATCCAGCATTGTATCCTTTTTCCAATAAAAACATTATTTTTAGTTAGCACGGTCTCGTTTGCTTCAAATGTGAGATTCAGTCCTACTTTGTTAAGGAATTCTCCCAATACCAAGTTTCGTCAAATTTCTGACACATGCTGCACATCATTCAATATTAGAATTTTTCCTGAAGTCAATTTTATGAGCACATTTCCTTTGCCAATGACCTTTGAAGTTTGTGAGTTTCCCATGAAGACTTTCTCCCCTTCAGATTGAGTTGCATACTCATTGAATGAACTGTGATCCCCACATATGTGCTTGGTAACACTAGTGTCTAGTATCCACTCCTTCAGCTTATCAATTAAGTTTACCTCAGTTACCATGGCTGCGATAATACCCTTAGTCAAATTGACTTGCAGTTTCCCAGAGTCCTTTTGGTACCGGTAGTCCTTGTAATGTCTGAATTTGCCACATACATAGCAATTTCCTTTCTTTTGTTGCTTCTTGAATTTCTAATCATTTTCCGTATTCAAATTCTTTTTGAATTTTGCAGTCTTATCCTCAACTAGATTGGTTTTGGAAAACTAGTCATCATCTTTATTTTTGTTCTTTTCTTCTATCTTAATCTGGACCACTACTTGGTCCAAAGAAGTGTCCTTCCTCTTATGTTTCATACTAGTCTTAAAATCATTCCATGTATGTAGCAATTTCTCTATGAGAGAACCGACAATGAATTCATCTGACAGTATCATGCCTCCTTTTGCTAAGAACTTGAAACTCATCTATTTGGGCAGACATGTCCACGTCTTCTTTCATGCTGAAATGCAGAAAGTTGACAATTACATATTTCTTATTTCCAACATTTTCTAAAGCATACTTATTACCCAATGCATTTTAGATTTCATAGGCATAATTGTAAGAAAGAATAAGCATTATACAACTCATTGGACAAGCAATTGAAGATATGATTAGTGCAGAGATAGTCGGTTGTAGTCCAGTGTTCTAAAACAACAGAACGGGTTAGTTCCCCCATGTTTGATGGGTTCAATTTAGTTAAAGCAAATGCTACCCCTAACTATTCTAAGGCAAATAGTAGGCATTGTCTCCAACGCTTGTAGTTGGTTCCATTAAAATATTCAATTTTAGATAAGTCGGGAATTGTTGACAGTATCTGGTTCCTCATGAAGGAGTTAGCTTTGATAGGTTCCATAAATGTGGTTTTAAGATTGCTATAAAAAATGATAAAGAAAGCAGAACAAAACTTATCAGTAATCACTATCCAAATCGCAACTTGCAGGAATTTGATGTAGAATCTCAAAACTGGAAATTACAACGAGGGTTGAACCGTACACTTGGTCACTCTCCTTAAAACCGCATTTGCCCCCTACGATGCAGCCAGGTAATTGCAAATCGATCGCCAAGATAAAACAACCGACAAGCTACTGATAGGCATGCACTCACTTACCAAACCTCAGTGAACCACAAAAGGATTATGCTCAGATTTTACAAAGAAGACTATTGAAAGTTGATGTGTATTAACTGGGTTGACCAACATCCTTTTTATAGATTGGTCTCATACCCGAATGGACACAAAGGTGTCCTTTCAAATAGGAGCCTATTCGAAGAGGCATAGAGTGAAAGAAAACGTTTTAATTTAAAAAATTTTAAATTTAAATACACATTTTAAATTGAAAAGATTTAATTTGATCAAAACAAAACAATGATCCGACACGCACGCACATGCACCCCAACCCAGCCCGTCCCAATGCGCATGTGAAAAACACACCCAACCCCCCCACACATGCATTGTATATTTATAATTCTCTCCTCTTATAGGTCCCTACCCATAGAGAGAACAAAATTATAAATATACTCTACTTCCACTCCTTTCCCAAACAATGTGAAACAAAGAATCTTCCCATGTACTAAAAAATAAGAAGAGGAAAAAATAAAAACAAAAAATGGAGAAAAGAGATTCTTAAAATTTTGAATCTCACTCCAACAATTCATATAACCAACCCCACAATTGAGATAAAGGCTTAGATGATGATGATAATAATTATCTATTTGAATTGCTAGGTTATATGTTTATACCTTATTTAATTTTGTAAGACTAACGTGAATTTCACAACCATGTCATATTTCCACCATGTTCTAAGCACTATACATTTCTTAAAATTGCTCTTCCAAAATTTCTTGCGGTTCCAATACCTTGACATTTCTGACATGTTCAATAAGAGTATGTTTGTTATGTGTTTACACCAATAAGTAATTAATTAAGAATAATATTAGGTGTTTATATCTTATTTATCAGTAATTGAGGTCAGATATTTTGGAACCCAATAAGAAGGGAAGAGGTCAAATGCTGACCTTCGAAACAAATATGAATGAGCATTGAACTTGGATCAGAAAGTCGAGACTTTGTACAACATTACAAATGTATCATGCATGAGTTGACAGCATTTAGATTTAAGTAATCCCTGGCCAAGCAATTCAAGAATAGAATAGCAAACTGTAAACTAATAAAGAAAGAATAGAATAGTCTCGTGTTCAAGAACCAAATAAGCATGAATCTTTTAATAGACTGATGGTAGATTAGGAGGCTGATCCGCTGCTCGTACATATACAGAATAATGGCATATTCATTCAGAGATGGGCTTCAGTGCTCACAAGGCTGCTTACACAGTTTGTACAGTCTTTTACACGTGCATTTAGAATATCTCCATACTTCTATGTTTTTTATCAAAACACTCCATATAGTTTCATGAATTTATTAAGACCTACCTTATAATTTGTGTTTTACTAAAACCCCCCCTATAAATTACAATCAATTTACTTAATCAAGTTTCCATTAGATAAGAATGAAAAACGACAATTTTAACCCTAACATACATTTAAATAAATTCATTACAAATAAAATAAAAATGAAAATGACGTTTATTCCTCTCATAAGACATGAGAAACCACTTTATCTGGCTTTATTTGGTCAATTTTATTCTGTATAAAGAAATATAAAGGGTAATTTTGGAACAAAAAATAATGGGCCCATGCCCTTTAGAATTTTTCATCCAGTTTGGGCAATCATGTCACTATTTTCGGATGGCAAAACAAAAAGATTGATTAAGTAAACAAGTTACAAATTACAAAAATGTTTTATTGAATGAAAAGTATAGGATAGGTTTAAGTAAATCCATGAAACTGTAAGAGGTATTCTAATAAATGACCCTATAGTTTATAATATACCATATGGTTACGATAATCTTAAGCTTTTGGCCCATAAACTGTAGGGGGTGTTCTAATAACTGACCCTATAGTTTATAGTATACCATATGGTTACGATAATCTCATCTGGCAAGCTTTTGGTCCATAAATCGTCTACTCTGGCGAGGTTTTAGCCTAGAAATTTTCCTCTACGCTGTCTAATCTCGTATCTCAACTAGGAATGCTAGATCTGCGGTCATGATACTTGGAGCCCAGTGAAGTCCAATCATACAACTCTTGTTCTTTTTTAGAAAATTTCCTCTACGCTCCACACCAGCAGGATGAATTCGTGATTGAGAGGAGTTTGGAACAACAAATATTTCAACTTTATTCCTTACCGAATCACATGATCAAATATACTGTACATTGGACCAGCTATTTTCCATCTTCCTATCCCCAAAGCTTCTTATATTGGGAAACATATAGTAGACAAGGATAAAGCTTTGACAATCAATATATCCCAAACTGCTGGGCTCACCATCATCAACTAAGCCTTATCCCAACTATATGGATTCAGCTACACGAATCCTGTTAAGCCATTCCCAAAACTGCAGGATTGAATTGGTAAAAGATGAGGAAAATGGGCAGGCATGAGAGATTCTGATAAAGTACAGACCTTGGTTTCTTGATTTTATCCACCATTCACCTTCTGATAGAGTTAGAAGATGGTGGCACTTCTATAACATCAGATGGTGGAGTTTGTGGCCGTGGTGTGCCAATATCGGTCATCACAAACTCGTCAGTATGAAGTGCATCCATCCCATCCCATTCCACTCCAGCTTGTCCGAGTCAGGGAATTCAGTAATAGCCCCACATTATGGGATAAAGAGAAGTGGATGAAATAATTAGTAGCAGTGATTATCAAAGGAAAAAAATACAAAAAGAACCAAGATTCCTAAGAAAAGGATACGTTCTGTCTTCCACATATCTGTGATGCTAACCCCAGCATCCGAAAGAAGCCAATAATCTGCATCACTCTGCACAATAAAACAAGAACCATCTAATATTAATCGAATATTACCATTCATCAAGAAAAAAATATTAATCAAATATTACTTGATAATTCCACTCCATCCCTTGAGATGAGTTATCAGCAAAATAATAAGACTAAAAGAAGACAGCAGATATTTACCAATATGACCATTATTAGCATACACCTTATGAATAACCCCAAACTTTTAGTTCTTAGTAAGAAATATTAACATAATATAGGTGTTCTAAGACATAATAGGCTTCTGCAAATCATATAAATGACAATCTTATGCCAGTGCTTTTTCTTTTCTTTTTTGATGAATCTTTTGCCAGTTTCTATTGTATCATGAAAAGAATGCCAAGTTTCTCATGCAAAATTAATGTAAAATAACATTAACTTGCTAAAAAAAGGAAATTGTTACTTCTGTTTGCAATAAAACACAATTTTCATAGAAAAGAAGATAGCAGCCACATCTTGGATGGACTTACATCAACGTCTGAAGGAACAATCTTCATTATCCCACCCACAAAGTCCTGTGAGGCATTTGGATCTGAATACATTCTATGATCGTCATGTCCTTGCAATTCCATCTCCTTCCCCTGGCAATCTTCAGTGACCATCGCCACTGCTGGATTCTCAGAAGATCCTGAACTTGATGCAAGTGGGAGGCTTGGAGGTGCTTCAATACTATTCATCTCCTCAAACTTCTCAAATTGACTAGAAGTAAAAATAAGAAAACATTCAGGAAACAATATTACACATGAATCTTCCACTATATCTAATTCCCTTTTGTTTTTTTTGCCAAGTCTTTTTTGTAGATACAGGACATTCCAAAATGTACAAATACAGTAAAACAATAACCAGCATAGACTAGTCTTTAAAAAAAATGAAAAGTAGCAGTACCTGACAAGGTAAACATCAATGGGACCCATGGTGCTTCTGAGGACAATTCTGTATCTTCTTTGTGGATAGTCAACAGCCTATGAGAATGTGAATTGTGCATCAGAAACAGGAAATGCAAAATATAAAATCACCTTTTTTTCTCTGTATTTTCAGCACTCTCAACCAACCTCATCAGGATCTGGGACTTCTAAAGTGGTGCCATGTGGAGCTTTAATTGCTATCAGAGTCTCATTCTGCCATAAAATAAGAATAAATAAATAAAAAGGTTAAAATACTGTCTAACCAAGCACATCAAAGGATTTATATGACTACATTTCCACCAGCCAATATCAATGCGACAGAAAAGAAACCAACCTGGAAACAGGGTAGACCCTTGATATCTTCTTCTGTCACAAACAACCACCTAGACATTTTGAAGATATATGTCAATGAGTACAATGATTTACTCCCATCAATAATAAATCTTGCTGAGGTAAGAGGTAAAGATTTTCTACTTTTGATTGTTCTCATCCTCACTTAGGTCCCTCAGCCTTTCCTGCATTTCTCTGCAACAAATTGAAGTATCAGCACAACCCAATGACTGGAAGGGAGATATCGATCTATCATAACAACTGACTAAAAATACAACCTTATGCGATCATCTAGTCTCTGCTCCTCCATGGAAAGGTTTTCAACTTCTGCCTGCAGAAGAAAATCAGAACATAAAGACTCTTTCTTCTTGGAGAAAACAGAGCAATTTCTTTTAGAATCAAATCATGGTTACTGTAGCATTTGTAGAGGATGCAGAATTTCTTGAATCCAATGCAAACTGATATATCCAACAAACAGAAAAATATGAAGGCATGGTAGCACAAGCCATCCAAGTGTGCATGTCTATAGAACAATATCAGCTTATGTGCATACCTGTAACATTGTGGCATCATCATCTTCTTCTCCTGGCCTTGAGACATCAAGTCCCCTAATCAACCAATCAATCCTCAAATGAATTCCCCACGGCTCATGTACAGAAATAGAAGAATATATGTAAAGCAAAGAAAAAGACATCCAAGTCCTAATGAATGTAAAATAGCAAGCTCCATACTTCCAACGTATTCTGTTCTTAAGCTTCTTCTCTATGAGTCCAATTCCTTCCAGGACATTTGTTATGTCATATATTCGCCTTTTCTGTACCTATAACAACAGGAAACCTTCAACTGTCAGCATTATGGCATATATGACAAATTGATTAAGAGGTGAAATGCAAACCTCCAAAGTGTCAGCAGCTTTGTTCAAGTCAAGGATACCATCTTCTGCATGCTTGATCAAATTGATGAACTTTTTTGTTAAGAGACCTAAAAGAGAGTTGAAGTACATTATTAGCATGTATTCCTTGCTTTCAAGTATGAAGCCTATATAAGCCACTTAATGATGCAAAAAGCAAGCAACTGATTGTAAATAAACTTATTATTGATCAAAAGAAAAGGAGAGAAAAAACAAGTAAAAAAGATAAAAATGAAAAGAACTAGTAGAGCAGGGACAAAACGTCCAAAAGGCAACCACTAATTAACTTACCTAGAGAGCTGTCATAACGACAAGTACCAACTGGAGTAAGAGTATTTCCAGATGGTGAACCTGCAAATTAAACATCACAAATATGTATTAAAAATACCTGTTTTGCTAAATTTTTTATTGATCTTTGCTAAACTTTTTGCCTTTGGATGTCAGTGGTGGAGGAGATGGAAGCAAAGGCTGAAGAGAAAAACCACAGTGAAAACTAATGCCAAAACAAACCATTGTGGAGACACATCTCACCTGCATTTGGCACAGGGGTTTGAGGCCCTGATTTGCTATGCTTTGGAACCTTTGACTTGCTGTATACCCTGCCCCCTTTTCCTGATACTGGTGTACGAAGGGGGCTGTTAACCACTTCAGTGTACCCAGGACTGGTAGTCCACTCATTGAAGCCTTCACAATCTTCTGTTTCACTCTTCCGCTTCAGAGGCTGAGAATCAACAATTATGTTTGCAGAATTTTAAACAATTTGAGGAAACAGATTAACTGCATCACTAAATTGCAATATGTTCATAGGCATACCATTTTATGATGAAATAACTGAAATGAAGCACAATTGTAAAATGTGCACTCAAGCTTTGATTATTATTTCTTGTTCCATTAGAGGGGAATATTAAAACATGACTATTCAACTAAAAGGAATAATCGAAGGTATCCTATCCATGCTTCAAATCTTCAAATGACAGAATCACAATATTTAGTAAGGGCACATATGCTAGCTTGACATACTAGTGTGTCCATTATAAAAATAATGAGCTACAGTAGTACACCTCCAAAGAAATATCTAAACTCCAAAGCAAACTTATCAATGTGTTGTGTTTAAGTCAGGCTTTTCAAAAAAAAAAGTTATTTTGAATGTAACAGCATATTATGAGCAATAGTGAGACCATTGAGATAGTTTCTGCCAAATATAGATGTAAATACAATGGGCCTAGTCTTGCAATATAAATACAAGAATACCTATTGAAGAAGATCGTTGCCCCAACTATCATTCTGGCCATAATAAACCAGAAATTTACATAGCAAGACTTTTAGATAGGAAGTGTCTTTGCCAACTTTTAAAGAATTGGTACAGAGGGCTCCAAAAATAGTGGAGGCAAAGGTTTATCAATCATGGAGAGTGCCCATGACGGTGGGGATTTTGGAAAATGAAGGCTTGGAGATAATTTGGACATAACTAAAATAACAAGAGAGATAATCATGGAAGGGCCAACTAAAATACAAATGCGTACCAAGATTCATTTAGGCAATACTTCTACACTGAAGAACCTTTCAGCTTCCCATCTGTTAGTGATTGAGACTTGAGAATCACCTGAACCAAAACATGCAAATCCATGCAATATGTACAGCACACTATCATCTTGTGCACCCAGATGCCACAAGCAAATCCAGACACAAGTATGCATAAACATACTCCATAGCATGATGCATATCAAATATATGAATGGGAGTCCATCTCTGCTGATTGATCTAAAGGTATGCTTTGTTATATACAACTATACTGTTTGCTCATAGATCTCAAGGTTTACTTTGCCACAATACAACTAAATTGTTGTATTCAGAACCAGTGATTCACTTCAGCACATAGAGAAGACCAACACTCCATAATAAAGCAATCTGTCAAGTTCCTAGAAGGCTATACTAGAGGAACCAATTACGATCAACACACTTTTAAACACATTAGAGGACCACATCAGCATATGGAGCCTAGCTAGAAAAACATGTAACATGTGATGATCTCTGACACACCAAAACATTGCTAGTTACTGCTGCTCCATTAGTTATTGACACCATTCATCTAGCTATAATTCCTTTTAAACAAAATGTTTGACTGATCAGAAAGGAATATTAACATTATGACAACCACAAGAACAACAGAGGAATCATTCCACATAATCAACAACAACAATCACATGGCATGTCAAACGTGATTTACAACATAGAGGATCTCATTCTTCAAAATTGCAGAAGATAATAATAGAAAACTATAGGAGTAAGGAGGAGGTCCAAGTTGTACTTAAAAAGGGGTTTCACACAATCCCCAAGTTATTGACACCATTTTCAATAGCATCTAAATGTTCAACCAATTAGATAGGAACATGGACATGGCATAACCTCAAGAACAATATAGGAATCATTCCACATAATCAATAACAAGTAATTGTCATCTCAAACATGAGTTGCAACATAAGTTTTAATAATAATTAACCAAATCAAACCAACAACCTCGATACCAACAAGGGTACTAGAAGTTCAGAAATGATGAAGCCTTGTTGCAAACTAAATTCAGGAATGGACCTCAAAGGCATAGAAGTCCATGTCAAAGGAAATTAGGGTCTTGCAAGAATACATAGGGTGTAATTCTCAAAGCTTTCACAAGTTTTTTGGAGTACATATTTCAGTGAATGCTAAACTTCAATGATACCAACACTCCAAATCTCAGAATGCAACTTCCAATTGCCTTTAGAGATCATTATTCGAATGTAATTAGGCCAGTAAAGGGAAGTGACAAAATTCCATAGACACTAACCAGTGTCATTGCTAATTTATATGATTTATCTCTACTACGACATACTATCAGCCAAATCCATATTAAGGGATAGGAGTATGCTAGTTTGAAACCCTTATTACTAAAAGTGCAAATGAAGACCACTTGAATATTTGGCAATTATGTCCCCAAATTTGTGTATTATATTCTTCTTTGTCAATACGATTCATACTCATTACTTTCCGTATCACAATTATGTGAAGAGTAGGAGTTTAAAAGTACTTGTCACCAAGACCTCCGAGAAAGGTCTGGCACGAATATCTTCCCTAATCCTAGGAGTCTACATGGTGCACTGCCAAATAAATCCGCACAGAAGCTCATTTCTCCAGGGCTTTATCTCAAAATAGAAGGACAAGAAGCATTAATGAACAAAACAGTGCGATCCGGTAAAAGTAGATAACTATTGACTGCAAAAAAAAACATGCATAAATAAATAAACTTGCACTCCAAATAAACTACTATAAACTTAACCCAAACTCCAGAACAATAAATCGAGTAGCATAAACAGCTAAAAACACTGAAACATAATTCTTCTCCTTCCTCATTCCACATCTCAAACCAACATGTTCAATCAGGAAAAGTGGAAACTCGCCAGAGTGCATGCTAATAAAAACCTTAACGCCCAAGTTTTCCCGCAGTACAAACATCAATTGCTGCTCCTTAGATCCCAATCACCATCATAGCCTTACGATAAAAAATTAAAAAGAAAAAAAAAAGCATAGCTCGAGAGTAGAGAAGCAAAACTAAAACCAATCAAACTATCAAAGCAAAGCCGCTGTGAACAAGACAACAACTATTCGGGGATAGATGAAGAGTACACAAATAACAAATTGCGCCAGGAATAAGCTCAACAGCAAAGGATTCAATAAAATCCAACTACCTAACTTCCCTCTAAGTGTGTTATACAGAAGAAATGTGACACAGAAACTCCCAATAAAAAAACATAAGCTTAAACCTCGTGAAATAAAACCAGGAAGAAACAATAATAGTTTGCAATTTCAAAGAATATGAAAAATACGAACTAACTACAAGCATTGACAGAAGCCGATCTCAGTAGAATTCTCTTCAAACAGAAATTTAGAACATAGGTGGAAGCCAAGAAGAAAAACCGCAACCACAAACTATGCAAGCCAACTCACCGGAGATTTAACAACAATAGCATCGGCCTCTTCATCAGCAACTTTACGACTCTCACGGGAGAACCGATGATAATCATCTGGAGGAACGAACGGCGGCTTCGTCGACGAGAACGGAAGGTGTCGCTTCAGAGGTTGCAGGATCTGCCCCGACGGCTGCGCCGAGCGATTTGAAGCTCGGGCGCCAGACATGAAATACCACTAACGAAGTCCCGAAAAACGAAACCTTACCGATTGCTTGAAGAAGGAATCGATCAAACCCTCTCTGGACCTCGTTATTCAACGCCGATCTCGAGAGGCTTGATCAAGAGGTCTCCTCGAGTCTCAGAAGATCGAAAGAAGAGGAATGATGGAAATTGGGGTGGAAATTGGAGGCCTTAGAGAGGAAAAGAGGAGGGAGAATGGGATCTGAGATTTTGGGGGGAAGAGAGAAGAAGAGCGGAGAGACTAGAGAGGGAGAGGGAGAGAGAAAGAGAGAGAAGGTTAAAAAAGCGGGGAGAGAAGAAAACGAGGGAAGGAGGGAATTTAGTTCGGATAGATATGGAGGGAAGCACATAGAAAAATATACATATAAATAATAAAATAAAATAACAAAAAAGAAATAAAATTCGGAATATGATACGCACGTACGATTGGGATAATCTGACGGTCTGATCGTGTTATTTTTTCTTTTTTTCTTTTTTCTCTGTTTTTTGCATATTATTTTTAATTATTAATAAAAAATAAAATGGTTCGAAGCGGCGAAGCGCGCCTTTTGTTCGTACACACAACTCGCGATCTTTTGGCGCGCATTTTGTTATGTTACTCTTACTCCCAGTCCTACAGTCCTACTCGCTGAACAAACCCTTGAACACAGCTGACAGCACAGCCGAAGCCCACTTATGAGAAATCTGCTTGGGCCATGCCGCCTTGGTGGGTTTTTTGTTTGCTTTCTTTGTTGGTGACGTGGCATGCTATGGTACGACGGATCAACGACAAAATTGGGTGCATTTTGGTGTTTATGTAGGGCCCACGTAGGGGGACATGAATGAAGAAGATGGGCCTTGTTTGGAGTAGAATCCAAGTGGGCCCTACCATTTAGGGTATTAGTGACCTTCAGCCCATTTGATTTTCTACATGGTGCATGATTGAGAGCATGTGGGGAATTTTGGTACAATAGATCTTTGTTGGTGACCCATAGGTAGAGGTGGACCGTGGAAGGAAGTTTGTTAGTAGAAAAGTATTGTAAATGCGCCTCCATATTATATAATCATTTTGACAAATCTAAATGGAAAAGTGATTGTGATGAAGTGCAACTAAAATAAACATCCAATATCCAAGCATAGGTGTGGATTAAGTGGGTTGTTAATTTTTATCACAATAATTAAATTCCTGAATTCTGAGTTATCTTCTTCTTTGCGTAAATCTGATCTTGTAATAGATTAGCCCACGGGCTAGTTTAATATATCATTTGGCATAATCACTCTATTAGTGAGGCCAGGGGCAATGCTAACCTCAACTAAAGACCATTAAAAAGAGCAAAATGGGTTTATATATCATATTCAAATTGTAATACAAGAAAAAAAAAACATTAAAAACAAAGAGTATAATGTACCTAAGCCCAAATCTCTTTAAGCCCAAATCTTATGGTTGGGCTTCGATGGAACATAAACCCAGCTCAATCTGCCCGATTTACACCCCTAATATCAACCCACACATATTTGCTCTTCCAAAGAATCCCTGCGCATCTAGACTTCTAGTCATTATAATTACAATCATCAACATGCATTTAGAAAAGGGAGAATGACCAATCAGCCCAGAGTCGAGTCAGAATTAGTAGCCTCAAAGTACTGTCGGGGTAGGTGTCAGCCCGGAATTGATGCTAATTCACAGGCGGGCATGATGCATAAAATGTAGGTTGTGGTTCTTTTGAATGTTTATAGCTCTATAGCGTAAATCAAAAATCTGCTTTGGACGAATCCGTACTTCTCCTTTTAAAAAAAAAAGATCAGAAGTACACTAATCACTATAAATCGTTAAGGTCACTTTTGCTCTATAAAGCCCATTGTGTTTGTTCACCGCCCATATGACTAGCTAGGTTCAAATAGTTTGCTGGTTTGTCAAGGGTATTGGATTGAAGGAAAGCTTAGGCTGTGTTTGGTTGCAGTGCAATAAATGCATGGAAGTGCAAATGAAAAAAATGTAAATTTTCATTTTATTTTGTTTTGTATTTTATTTTATTCTACTTTATGTTTTAATTTATTTCATTTACATTGTAATCAAACAAAATAAGCTAAAATTTGAAATAAAAATAAGTTAGAATTTACACTTGAATCATTTACACTGTCATAGTTTTGCATCAGTACAAATTTATTTGTATTGCAACCAAATACAACCTTAGAGAAAGGTATGAAAACCTATCTTTTCCTTTTTTTTTCCCTATTTTTTTATCTTTCAAATCAAACATAGCTCAAGAGAAGACAAGAGAGACATTTTCAAAAGCCATCGATGAATAAAGACAAAAAAAAAAGAAGAGAGAGAGTGAGAACAAAGTGCGGAAAGTTGTCGAAGGCCACATACTAGTTCATTAAGACTAAGCCTGGCCAATACATATCGATTTATAGATGGAGTAGACTGATTTTGACACCCGAGTAAAAATTGAAATAACACCAATAAAATTACAAAATTTTCAATGACAACAAATAATAATAATAATAATAATAATAGTCAAAAAGAAATCCAACAAATTGTACTATTAATAAGAAAACATTAATGGGTAACGGTAAGAGTGGATTTATAATTTTGCACTCTCGATTTAATAAACTAAGGTGAATTAATACAAATTAAAACAAAAAATTGCAATGACATTAAGAATTTTAGAAAATTGCAATGAGAGACAAAATAACAATAATAATAACAAAAAAATCAAGAAAGTAAACTAATAACAAGGAAACATTAATAGGGAAATCAACTCAAAAAGGAACAAAAAAAATAAAAGCTATTTTATTCAAATAAAAAAATAAAAACTATTAAGAGTGAGATATGCTGAAAGTGATTATCTCGGCACCGCATGAGGAAAGTGGAGTCAAGGAAAACATTTAAAACCAATTTCTATGGCACTTGAGAAAGAAAGTGAAAAATTACAAGAAAAAAACAAAGAGGAACTATGTTACTGCAAAATATGGAGCTAAGGGCAAGAACATAATTTTCCTAGTGTTTGAGGTCGATAGGTCCAATCTGTAAATAGAAGAAGAATACACATCAGAGGCCCCAAGTGTTATCCCAGGGGTGAAGACTCTAACGGTCAATTTAGTCGTGTGCTTAAAAAGGAGTCGGACCAAGCAAGAAACGAGAGCTCAGAACTTAGTCTTTAATAGCCAAAAATAGTAATCTAAATCTTTACCTTGAAGTGACCCTAGCAGTTCTCCTTCCAACTCGACTAGTAGTGGGAGCGACAGTAGTGACTCCAACAAGGCGCGACACTAACGCGTTACCCCCGCTCTGATTTTGATAGTGATCTCGACACAAAGAAAGTGAGGGCTCTATCCAAAATGTACCATATCCCGGGGGCTATAGGGTTAAAGTCCCTTATGTCAGTGACCAGCTGTGGTAGCCCCCCGAGGGGGAGGTGTGTGTCCACTTCGGCCTTTGTTTACCTTTGCCTCCCCTCATCCCATATCTCCTTAACTACTATAGGATTACCCTTAGCCAGGTTGCTTCGAACGCCATTAAGACCATAGTAGTTGTGTTGGTGATGGCCCACCTCCAAAATGTGTCTACAACTCAGAACGTCTTCTAGGGTTTGTTCGCATTGAGGAAGCATCCTGACGAGAAAGGTTTGTAGTACTTCCAGAACTGACGGGGTAGGGTAGGGGACAACCCGTCGTCCATCCATAACTGGAAAAAGTTCTTCACTGGTTGCCTACAAGGTTGGCCCTTTTGGTCTGGCTAGAGAACACCAAACTCGCTAATCGAGAGGATCAAGCCGTACAGTAGCAAGGAGGAGTCGGCCATGATGAATCAGATTCGGATGACTGGGACGATTCATACTGAGCCCTTAGTGGAGGAAGAGGCCTTGGTGTTGGTTGGCCTTAGTTCTCCCCCCCCCCCTTGGTATGGGCACTCCTACTATCATCTATTGTGTCACTTATTCAACGTTTATTGTCGTTCTTCTAACATCAGTTGTTCTTCTTGCTTGCAGAGATGGACGGCGGCTTGAAGGAGAGTCTGCTGCAAGCTATAGTGGCAAAGTCTAGGAAGGGTCCAGCCAAGAGGACATCACGAAAGCCGAATGGGAGGGATCCACCTCGGCCAAAAGGGAATACCAAGGCCGAGAAGAGAAAGGCGGCCAAGCCAAAGCAACTGGCCGAGGTCCCCCAAGATCTAAGGGCGAAAAAGGTCAATGTCAAGGACCGTCGAGCCGAATGTGTTGTCGAGGGGTCTTGATAGTTGGGGCCTCACTCCTTGGACCCGTAGGATAATATTCCGTTGGCGGCGCGCTGTGTGTTTCGCCCAAACTGGAACATCAAAGAGGGGGACTCTTTGAGCAATGTCGGCATTGGTTGCGCGTTGATCACTAGCATGCTTCCTACTGGAGACTGTCAGTCGCGGACCTAGGTCTCCCTCCAAGCCGTCCAAGACACGGTGCTCGACAAGCTAGCCGAGGTAGGATTGGACCTTCCTTCATGGCACTTCTTTTTGCCTTAGATTTTTCTAATTGATGTGAGTTCTTTACACCTTCATAGACATCTTCTTGCATTGTCAGCCTCTGTGACAATATGGAAGTGGTGATACAACAGCTACAGAGGTCGCAAGAGAAGATCAAATAGCTGAAGTGCCTGTTGGTCGAGGAGTGGGCAAGCCGAGAGGCTGCTACTAAAATGGCTCGTAGGGAACAGGAGCGCTGCAAGAAGATCAAAGCCGACGTGGCGGCCAAGAGGGAGGAGTTGAGGGCTGTAAGGGCCTCACTAGACAAGGCGGAGTAGAAGCTTCAGGAGGCATCCACTCAGGCTGTGGATGAGTACAAGGCCTCGGAGGCACACAAGGATGATTTGATCGAGTTCGGCGCCACTTCCTATTTAGAGGGGATCGAGGATACTTGTGCTCAAGTGCTAGCGTTCTTTGTAGACTTCAACGTTAGCTAGCTAGGTCCTCGCATCCAGAACCAACAGGCGGTCGAGGGCTAGGACAACGCTCAACAACCCACGTAGCAGGAGGTGATGGCCAATGAGCATGTTGATATTGAGGCCGAATGAGGATGCTTGCCAAGGGCCAAGGCTCCCTTCTTCATAGACTTTTGTGTGTGTGTGTGTGTTGTAACGGTCTCGACCTCCCCAATTAGAGGCCTCTTTTTGTAAAAATAATTTGAATGAAAATACAATAAATTTTTTGACCAAAAGTGTTGAGTTTCTTGCCAAAAACATGTTGTTTCTTTTTTCTTCCTATTTTTCTTTTCTCTCACGCAAGGGGACAATGCCTCCCCCGAAGTGGCAGATTTT